TCGTTCTTAACAAACGGTGCAATATATCAATATAATATTTGTTGTTGCTTGTCAAAAATTAAGAAACGACGCAATATATCAATATCAGTATATTGTTGCTTGTCACAACATTCACGCAATATATCAATATAATATGTCGTAACGTTGCTTCGTTCTTAAGAAACGACGCATTATATCAATATAATATTTGTTGTTGCTTGTCAAAAGATTCACGCAATATATCAATATAATATGTCGTAACGTTGCTTCGTTCTTAAGAAACGACGCATTATATCAATATAATATTTGTTGTTGCTTGTCAAAAGATTCACGCAATATATCAATATAATATGTCGTTGCTTCGTTCTTAAGAAACGACGCAATATATCAATATAATATGTCGTTGCTTCGTTCTTAAGAAACGACGCATTATATCAATATAATATTTGTTGTTGCTTGTCAAAAGATTCGCGCAATATATCAATATAATATGTCGTTGCTTCGTTCTTAAGAAACGACGCATTATATCAATATAATATTTGTTGTTGCTTGTCAAAAGATTCACGCAATATATCAATATAATATGTCGTTGCTTCGTTCTTAAGAAACGACGCAATATATCAATATAATATTTGTTGTTGTTTGTCAAAAGATTCACGCAATATATCAATATAATATGTCGTTGCTTCGTTCTTAAGAAACGACGCAATATATCAATATAATATTTGTTGTTGTTTGTCAAAAGATTCACGCAATATATCAATATAATATGTCGTTGCTTTGTTCTTAAGAAACGACGCAATATATCAATATAATATGTTGTTGCCTCGTTCTTAAGAAACGACGCAATTAATATCAATATCAGAATATTTGTTGCTTGTCAAAAAATCCACGCAATATAGCCGATCAATATAATATGTCGTCGCCTGTCATAGCCAGCGTATAAGCAGCACACTGGTGGCAGTCGCTTTATTTTGTTGAACAGGGGTTTTGAGGATCAATTATCTTTTTCTGCGTGTGTCATAAACAGTATATACATTACATATATGCGGCACATGAGTCAACATGCATAAACAAACAGGTATATCACGCGTCGCTGTCCCTGAACTTTGTACTATCATACGATTACATGCGCAGTTTACTCCATCATAGGCTACATCTAAGAATGAACTGATGTTAGAATATGATGATGTTGTAATGTGTTAAATAAATCTTTTAATCTTTGTGTGTGTGTATTTCTTCCTTTTAAGTGCCCATCCAGGGTCACAAGGCCTGGACAAACCGTAATGGTTTGAGCTCACGAGTGGAAGGAATACTATCGTATAAGTTAAACAGCGATATATACTTTCGTGAAGTAAACACGTACAAAATATCTACCTTTATTTGCTCACTCCGGTTTGAGCACTCTAGGCACTACATTTTTGTGGCACTGAGGTAATGTATAAGCCCTTTAGTAAAAATAATAAAATATATTAGGTCGTAGGGGGTCCCCGTAGACTGATACACTAAAGAAGATATACCGCTACTCGGGTACAGAAACATGAAACAAACATGATAAATATCTATATATATATATATATATATATATATATATATATATATATATATATATATATATATATATATATATATATATATATATATATATATAATTATATATGTATACATACAATTCCATCGGCCTCGTTCTAAAAAGCCATGCAAGATAAAGCGGTGTATTATATATAGAATGTTAGGGTTTGTAATCCAAGTGAGAATATATACATTTTAAGATTGACCACTAGATTCACGGATCGACATTTCATATTTTCCGATCGTGAATTCCCAGTCCATCCGTTACCAATGGTACGGATCAACAACATTTTGGAGGCCTCCCTAAGCCACTTGACCACTTGGAGCTGTGTATGGAGCTGCTCGAGACATGAAACGGTGTAGTGTGCTCGCTCAGACGGATCGTAAACTCAAGATTTTCCGTCCGTACCATCCGTACGAATCGTACGGATGGTAAGGTCTTTCGTGGGGTGCATGCAGGATGCGCAGCATGATGCAATTATCGAAATGACTGGTGCCTAAACCAGCGCCTTATGTACACCATGCTACTTGACAGGGAGCGCGAGTATTTTCACGAAAAATTGTTCGCCAACAGCGACCTATTAACTGGATATATTATATTTATTGTATTTTTATGATTGATAAGAAAAGTAGTAAATATTTATTGTTTTTATCTTTAAATCATCAAATACAACAAATACAATATATTTAGTTGAAACGTGAATTGCTGTGGTGGCGAACAAACGTTTCGTGAAAATATTCGCCCC